TGCAATGTGACATGGATGCCATGTTTTGTTGAGTTGCATCCTCAATATAAGTCCTGCAATTTTTCGTTGGTGAAGATTTTAGTATTCTATAATTATATATTCATATTATTCTAACATGTTCTAAGTATTACCATGATTTTAACGATTTTACCACATCCTATGTAGATCATCCATGTCCAGTGTTACCAAAGTTTGCCTCAAAATAAGCCATTCATCCATGCAGGAAACATTACAGTTGTGTAAAGAACCATCGATGGTATGAGTCTTTGATCATATTCTATCCATTGGCGTTGGAAGTTGGAAGTTTGTTCCCCCAAAAAAGAAACCTGGGTTGCTCAAAATCGAAAAAATGTGAGCCGTGTCCGTTTGTGCCGATGTCTTTCTGGGCTTAGTCTGATTAAACCGTGTTTGATTAAGGGAACATGTGGAACATGTTACGGGAAAGCCTTGCATTTACAGGTAAAGCAAGAGTTTTCCTGCAAATGTTCCTGAAAAACAACGTGTTGATGCTTTCAGATGGTTTCCAATGTTTTCATTTTCGATTTCAACGCATTCTGACGCACGGGATGATGATTTGCGATGGCATTCATGTTACAACCTGGGGGTTGTTCAAAACATGTCAAAACAAACAGCCCTTTTTTTAAGGGTAGGTGTTCTCATACCCAAATGGTTGGTTTATCCAAAAGCTTACCATGGTTTAGTATCCTAGAATATCCTAGATGTATTCTTTGGTATTTACAACCAGTATGTTGCATCATTTTGACCCATAGGAAGCCAATCATATTCACCAAGGATGATAGACAAAACAATGTTACTTCAGATCGACTAACTATCAACTAACAGCGACAGTTTGCCCATATGCTCCATGTATGGAATATTTACCTACATTTACCCCACAAATGGCCCAAATGTAGGTAAATATACTATACATGGAGCATATAGAGCATATGGGTTGTACAATATAACATGAACAAACATTCGCAGCGACTAAAAGCAAAAGAGAACCACAACCGCCGTCTTCACCGCCATGTTTTCCCCCCCTTCCGCGGCACGGACGCGGCTTGCGCTAAGGCCTACACTGGCGCAAAGCTTGCGCCGCAACTGCCGTGGATGGGTCAACAGGCGGCTGGGTTGGTCTGGTTGGTGGTTTGGAAGTTTTTTTTAAATGGATTTTAATGGATTTTAATTGATTTTTATGGATTTTAATGGATTTTTCCATTAATATTGGGAATAATTAGTCATCCCAACTGACGAACTCACTCCATCATTTTTCAGTACGGGGTAGCTTGAAACCAGCAGAAAATGGATATTCTTGGGGAATCATGGGGATTTACTGTAAGGGACATGTAACATTATAAATGTCACCCAAACCCAACTACATACATCCAATTTGGGTCCGAAAATGATGCATATAGTTACAGTATATAATCTTATATAATGTTATTATATAATCTTATATACTCCAAACTATGGCAATTTCAAGAGGGAAAATGAGGATACATCAGTGGATTTAGGGACAACATAGTTTCAGACCAACGCATGTATGAGAACTTTGGAAGCCCCCCAAAAAGTGGATAATTGGAACGATCACATAGTTGTATGACCATAGGATGCCATAGGACCTCCACTTGAGTCCGAATAGGTGTTTATTCATGGACTCTGGTAAAGCCAATGCCACTCAACACACTTTTCCATGATACTGTGTATATGCAACAGTGGGAATCGGAGACGATCCAACAGTTGACAACGGCCAACATTGGAAGTAGTTAATGACTGTTGCATTGCTCCCCATGTTTTTCTAACTGTTCCAACGAACCCAGTTGATTGACACAGTGGAGAAGTACCATCGACAATGGGAACTACCCTCTGGTAAACTAACATAGCTATTGAAAATGACCATTTATAGTGGATTTACCAATTAAAAATGATGATTTTCAATAGTTATGTTAGCTTACCAGAGGGTATCACACTTTACCATGTGACTATTTTTGATACATATGGGAGAAGCGCAATTCTTGAGCGGAACCATGGTAGACACATGTAGACACTTTTTTTGGGACTTCCCAAAGGAAACAACTGGGGTTGCGAATGCTGTTGGTAAAACAATCATGGGAGCAGGTAAGAAGGAGGGGCGCAGTGCTGCGGCGGACCTTCTGTAGTTTTCCTGGGAAATTCTGCAATCCCTTCCCCTAAAATTGAATACCACTCTAGAAATCATGGTGAACTCTTGGAGCAATTCATTTTGTGGGGGGCCAGAGGGTGTAGATTGTGTAGCTAGTATTGGGGGGGTGGGATTGACCACCAGGCCAGCAATCCATCGCCCCAAAACGGCCTTTATGAGTCATTGCACGGTTGGTGTGGGGTTTGTGAATGTCACCTGAGTTTGCCTTCGCCAGAGTTCTTGTTCGCCAGGTTCACCTCTGATTCTCAAGCCAATGTCGCTGAGGCAGGGAATGGGTTCTCAGGCCTTCGAAAGCCTGCGGGGGTAGTTTCAGGGGTACGCCCTCAAGCATAGCAATGGAGAACTGGGATGTATTAATCATTCATCCCTTCCACATATGAAACACCTGGAAATGATGGTTTAATAAGGGATTTGCACCATTTTGGAATAAGGGGTGCTTAATATCAGGGTGATAGGATTACATGGAACAAACATGAACAAACACCATTTCCAAGGCGTGGTCCGTTCCCCCAAATTATAAATTGGTGGATAAACTCAAGTGTGGGTTTCTTGAGTCATGGAGTGTCATGGGAAAACCCCCTAAGTCACCATAGGTTTTTAATATGTTTTACCATCTGGCAAACTAACATAGCTATGGAAAATCACCATTTTTAATGGGAAAATCCACTATAAATGGCCATTTTCAATAGCTACGTTAAATTACCAGAGGGTAATACAAACATGGTCTAATCACTTGGATCTACTTGGATCACTCTCTGTTTGGTCCACATCCCTGATGGTTGCGCATGGGCATTGCATTGGAAAAATCCCAATGGTTGATGAACTTTCCAGTCGGACAGATCCAGATGTCTGCTGAGTCACCTTTTTTCGATGGTGAAATCATCCGAAATCCATCATTTTTTTCATGGGTAAATCTTCATCTTTCTGGGTCGAATTCCCAGATGCCTGATGGAAAATGACCTCTATATATATAATATGTATATGTATATATATATATATAGAAATTGTTCTGTGGGATTTTGATGGATAGATCATGATAGATCAGCATTTTCTCAAGGATCCTTGCTACCTCAGGATGACGATGTAGAGCTGGTTTGGCTGGCCCAGGTCCATCTGATTTGGGATGATGATCCACGGCATGACTAGATGTGGTTTTGACACGTTTCAACATGCTTGAAGAAGCTATATATAGGGATCAATCATCATTCAGACTTCGGAATTTTACCCACACAATTTCAGGAATTTCACTCGCAAAATCAGAATTCAATGTGATTTGATGCAGTGAAATCCAAGCTGAAAGCTCACCATTTGGAAGAGGAACATGAGCAAAGAAAGAATGGCGGGCAGCAAGGGTTTTTGAATGTTTTTGAAGAAATTAACGGTATGTTTTCGAACGGGTTGTCTCGCCTGTAGAAGGGCGGCTCGAGGGAAACCCACACGAACTCCGCCAACACTACGGCGAAACCATGGTGTTTTTCCCGACCAACTACCTGAAAAAGGAGTTGTTTTTCCGCATTGCGTTTTGGTTCCTCACTGGAAAGCCTCTAAAGTGGTGCCCCCTAATTACTGCAGTTATGCGTGTTGGCTTATTACCGATCTAACATGATCTAACTATAGTTATGATATGTGAAAGTCACCATAAGCCCCAGTTAATCTAGTAATCTAGTTCTAAAGCAGCTTTACTACCAAGCTGGGGCACCAGTATTGATGGTTATTAATATCCTCATTCTTGATGGTCCATTGTAATAGCCATTAATGAGGATATCCTATTAATAAATGACCATTAATATCCTATTTGCCATGTAATAGCCATTATTGATGGTCCATTATTAACTCTGGTTGGTGGTTTGGAACATTTTTTTATTTTTCCATAGATTGGGAATTTCATCATCCCAACTGACGAATATTTTTCAGATGGGTTGAAACCACCAACCAGTAACTATCCTTATTATTCATGTCCCTATCCATTTCCAGTTCTCTCCGTGGAAAGACCCAGCAGCTGCAAGCTGTCAGACATTGTCTGACCTCGCCAGGATAGCGTAGAAGTGGATGATCACGTTCCACCTGATTTGTAGGGCCCCAGGGTGGCTTCAAAAACGCGTTGTAAGATCCGAATTCTTTAGCCGTATTGTCATAACTAGCATGGATTTCTGGTTGGTGGTTTGGAACATTTGGAAATTAGTTTTCCATTCAGTTGGGAATTTCATCATCCCAACTGACGAACTCCATGATTTTTCAGAGGGTAGGTATACCACCAACCAGATTTTCAATAGCGTCCCCAATGTTAGTCATGGTTAGTCTGACATATCTGACATGGGTGGGATCACCTTTCACGGCATCATTTCAGAAATTCTACGGATCCAGAATCATGTAATCATCGCGTTCCATCAGTGACGGGTTTGCCTGGGAGCCGGTTGGAATGACGAATTGAGAAAAAACCAAGTGCCATGATAGTCCAATGTCAACCCCGGATGAGACTAAACCATGGTTTATTAATTAGGGGGGTATTCCCCCAATAGTCATTTCATCTGATACTTAAATGGTATCCCCCCAATTAAAGAACCTAGGGGTTTATTAATCCAGGGTTGACATTATCTTGAATACGTTGAGTTTTATCTCACTAGGGCTGTGGACAGATACTTGAAGACGCAATAGACCTTATATTGATATGATTATGACTTTATCATATATACTTTATATAATTGTGTATCGATGATCTTCAAGTTCTGGCCGTGAGAATCATTTCAAAATTCCGAAATTGCAGGGACTAATGATTAAGTGGACCTTCCATGATGGCCTTTTTTTCATCAGCTGTATTTTGCTCTCAGCCCGGTGAAATGTCGAACGCGTATGGCTGCGTCAAGGCCCGACTGAAGCCGAAAAAAGCCCCAAGCTGTGGAAGATCTATGGGACACCGCCATTGAAAATCGATGTATATTTTTCCCCCCTGCTTTGATGACAAAAATGATTTCATATGATTTCCCTATAAAAAAACCTTGGATTCTCAGGGGAGTTTGACATACCAAAGGGATGCAAAGGGTAAGATCTTAATGTCGATTGTCAAATCCACATTCGTTTGGTTGCTTAAACCATCATGTTTCTGGGCAAATTATGACGACATCACAGTGACCTCCCTTTAATGATGGTTAGTAAGGGGAATTTCCCCCAAAGTGGCCTTAATTCAGGGTGAAAAAATCTCATTTACCCAGATATTTGGCTCTTGAATCTTCATTGATCATTGGATCCTCAAGATCGATGGTCAATGGTCAAGCGATATTTATACACTACATTATATACATATAATACATATACATACACAAAAAAGCACATACATCTACATACACATACCCATGGAAATCCCTACTTATTTTTTGGTGGTTCCTTAAGCAAATCCATATATATATAATTATATATATATATTATTAGATCCATATGTGCATCATAAAATCCTCAAAGATCCAGGTCCAGCAGCGAGCTGGGCGTCGCAGCGCTGGTGGAGCTTCATGGCTTTCCAGATGACGTCTCCGGCAAGGTGCCAGTGGTGCGAGTGATGGGAAAAAACATGGGAAATCCATGAGGTTTTTCCGGGCGTTCTCTTGGCATTTATGTGGGAAAAAACATGGCATGACTGTATAACATTGTATAACCAACAATAATAGCTAGTTTGATGGATAGTTAATGGATGGTTCGTGGATAATTCATGGATAATTCATGGATAAGTGGGGAAGAATTCACCGTTCATAGGCATGCGTAAGTTAACAACAATTTTGATAATAATGGTAATAATCACAGAAAAACATTGATCATGAATAATTTTGTTTATTTGACAACAACCACGTTGTTTTTGGGGCTTATTAAGCATCTATAATTGGGGAGGGGGTCACTTGGGGGGAGTAGTTGAATCACAACGATGATAAAGGAGCGGTGCAAAGCAGGTTAAGGACACACATTGCAACCACGCTGGAATGAATAAGTAAATGGAAAGACCATGTAATTCGACAGGGATTTTGTAGGGATTTAACTCCTAACAATGGGGATGTTGTAAATTGGACTCATCTATCAACCAATATATATATATATACACATAATACATATAATGTACTGTATATATATATATATATCCATGAATATCCACTAGTATCCATTAGTATTCCCCATGTCAGCGATTTCCATATTTCATGCATCCAGCGCACTCCTTGCAGGAGATTCTCCAAGACAACGAGGCTGAGGAGTTGAAAGAGAGCCGGCTACGCGTCAATGGTTGGCGAGGGCAGGCGTGGCGATGGAGGGCTTGGTTGGTTGGGGGTTGGTGGACCCCTTTTGGAAGGCCTAAAACAGCCAGTGCACTGTCATTTTTTGCATTAAAAATAGGGGACTTAAACATCACACATCGTGAAAGGTAGGGATTTCACCATCAAACATGGTGAACTTGGGGAATTTTAAACATCAAACAACGTGGTTAAAACATGTTTAAACTTGGGGTTCTCATCCAAGTCTTCCGCCCGTTGTTGACCCTGACATACCTTTGAGAAGCAGTTTTTTGGGGACATTGAACAATGACGCCGACAGGTAGATGGATTATCGGTTAATGCCCGTGCTTTTAGTGATTTTTCTTGATGGATGTTGACGGTGCTGCGATGACCTCAATGTCCATCCACGTCCTAGCTTATGTAGATCGTCTACTGGCCCGCCAAGGCTCATCAACCCAAAACGTCATCTCGAAGTGTCCAAACAGGTATATATATAAGATTGTTTTTGTTCTCTAAACTAGATCAGAATAGATCGCAATATGACATAGTTTGACCCAAATTTTGGTGGTCTAAGTTGGCTTTGCTTGTCACATTTGACCACGGTCACCCACCAACGCCCCAACCAGACTCCCCTGTCAGGTGGTGCAACACCATAGAGACGGCAGAGTGCTGGTGGAGACTTTCAAAGGTGGAAATCCACTGAAATCCCCATTGATTTGGTGTGGGATTTTACCGTTCATCTGGAAATTGTGTGCTTTTCAAACATGATAAAAATTGGAACACAGGAAAAGATGTCGAAGAGAAAAATATGATTCGAACATATAGTCTAAATTGGATTTAACTAGACTATTTGAAACTACCGATTGGAGCGAAGCACCCCATTCAATCAACCACAGTTTATTCATTCGGGATTGACATCAGCTCAACAAAAAGATATGTCCGCAATAGGTGAGTAGGGGGTTATGCTTCGAAACACTGGGTAGGAACCCATGAGCTAAATTCCTTGTGCATGAAAAGGGTCCACTGTCCACCGTGGGGGGGGTTGTAAGCCAATTTGGGCAGGACCCCACGTTGTTTTCCGTCACTGGAATGATGGGGATTGTAAACATCTTCGAGGTTAGTAAACTATAGTTGATCCAAGAGTGACGGTGGTTTCAAGGATTTGCCACTTCTATCGAGTTTTGGGACTCAGTGCAAGTTCAGAAACTTCAAAAATGGTATCAATGGCAGGGGAATTGTGAGACCATATCTGGATCTATGTTTGGGAAACCTGATCTCTTCGGGGTATATTGAAAATGAGTAGAAAGCACAGATTCAAATTCTAGGTTGGGGTTGAACATGGGGCAGCAGCTCTCTTGGAAGATCCATGAACACAAAAGTCCATGCTGAGGGAGAATTGGAAAGTTGTGGAAAGTGCAAAGTCCATACCAGTAGTAGCTCCATAGCATAAAAGCCTAAGCATGCCTGCAGCCCAAACACACTTGCAGATCTTGCAGTTGTTCGGTGTCGAACATTGAGCAAAGTGAGCTAACTTATGTGGTAAACCCAACAATTTTTAGACAAATCCCCAACTTTCTATTTTGCTATCTGGTTAGAACATGCTAGAACAGCCACCAAATGCAAAAAAAATTGGGCGAAATTGGGCCGGGCCTTTGTCATCGGATTTTTCGCAGTTGTGAAGCTGGTGGGAAGCAGGTCTCCGAGTGCTGGTGGCGCCCGAGAACTTGAAGGAGAACTTGGGATTTGCCACCTACTGGTGGCCCCAACGGAGAAACCGTTGAAAACCCTCTGGTAATTTCTTACATAGCCATTGAAAATGGCCATTGAAATCGTGGATTTACCCATAAAAAATGGTGATTTTCCATAGCTATGTAAACGTTTACCAGAGGGTAAACCATTGTGGTTCAGGCGAGGTTCGTTCCTTTTTGGACCATCCCGGATGTATCTCTCTTCGAACTTTTCATGGTTTCATGGAGTCCCATTTTTTGGATCGACATTTGGAGGGGAACATCATTTTCCGAAGCATTTCTGAAACAGATTTTGATCAACTCCCTGGGATTCAAGGGCGAGCATGGCTGGGAAATCCCCGAACTAACGAAGGTTTTCATGGGACAATTCCCTATCAATGGTGGATGTTCCATCGAAAATTTCCAGATGGTAAATCATTTGAAAGCTAAGATATGATATCAACTGTGATAAACTACGATATATATAAACTATGATAAACCATGATTCAAACTTGTTTGATCTCCGAAAATCAGAGATTTCCCAGCCGAGTTTTGCAATAACGGCAGGAGTTCACCCCACAACACCCAGAGAGAGGCGGCTTTCACGTGGCCTGGCCTCCCGAAGGCGAGGCTCACTGCCAATGTCAGATGGTGAAACTGGGAGAGGGACGTTTTTGGATGGGTAAACTATGGTAATTTAACATAGCTATTGAACATGGCCATTTATAGTGGATTTACCCATAAAAAATGGTGATTTTCCATAGTTACGTTGGTTTACCAGAGGGTAAACTATGGTAATTTGTACTGTTTTGCTATTGAAAATGGCACATGTACAATTGATTTACCTCTCTTCTTCATGGTGTTTTTAGCAGTTCGCTATGTTGGTTTACCTTTAAGGGTTTTTACTATGGTAAACTCACCATTTTTTTTACGGCAATCTATCCAACATAACATTTTTGGGGTTTCACCCCCTATGAGTTGACACAGACACGCAGACACTGTGACACTGGATGTGCTGGTGAATCACACTCCTTTTGTTGATGGATGTTGGCCAACTTTCCATTTCTGGACACACCGAAAAATCCTGATTCATCGGGTATAAATCATGTTAAGTTAAGTCAGTAAGAACTCAGTGAAACGTCTCGATTTTTTTTTTATATTTGTTCAATGATGCATTGATATTCATGGGCTAAATCAGGATAGATTTGTAGACATCTAGGTTGGTGGTTTCAAACATGAATTGAATATTTTTCATATATGGGATGTCATCCTTCCCATTGACTATCATATTTTGCAGAGGGGTAGGTATACCACCAACCAGATGCCATTGAAATTCCCATTAGATCCCACTAAACCACCATTAAATGCCAGCCAAAACCACCATTTTTCAAGATGGGAAAGTTGCACCTTGCACCACCAACAACCAGACGAATCCAGGCAGCATGGAGTCCCTGGCGCAGTTCACTGCTACTGCAGTGGACGCCTTGGCGAAGGATGGCTTCTGTGTGATCCAACTTCCACTGAGTCCGGGACGCCCATCGGAGACGGGTCAGAAGAGATGGAAACTGCGGTTTGACACCAAGAATAGAGTATATATAATTATACGTATATACATCTATAGACATATGTATGATATATATATATATATACATAGGGTGAATATATATATAATATATATATATATATATATATATTTATAGTTCATCAAGAAAGATAGTGCGCAACTGGGGTTTGACACCAAGAAAAGGGCTGGATCTCATTGATTTAATCAACAAAACGAGGATATGCGGAGAGATGTAGGTCACAATATTCAGCCACGTCACTAGAGATGAACCTTGTTTTGATGGATTACCCCGAAGCTTCCATTAACAATAATCCATTTTCCAAGATGTTCTCAACATCCAGCTTCTTCATCTTTTCTTTGTTACAAAAAAGCGAATAGCCTCGCTTTTTGATCTTTTCTTTTCATGCAGATATCAAGATACATTATATTATACAGACAATACATATAGATAATGCATTATTTGTTTGATCTAAATATACAATATGTACTGTACACATATATAGATATATGGCAATCACCGAAAAGATAGAATGTGGGAAAGTCCTACTCAGATATAGTTTCTGATAATGTATTATCATACGATCATACGATGTTGTGTATAAAGAATATAACCCCCCAAAGTAAATTGCTGCAACTGAGGGGAGGACGTGGCCCTAGACGCGGCTGTGGAGGTGAAATGTGGCAGGTGCGGCACAGGATTCTTTTTCGGGGAGATTTTGGAGGGATTCTTTTATTTTTATTTCATGTGTGTTGTAGTATTTTTTTTGATATTTCATTTGTTTGGGGGGGGATTCTTGGGATAGTTGATGATGTTCTTGTGGATATATTCTGGTATATCTTTGGGTACTTGATGATATGTTTACGGATACTATGGATCTATGGGATACTTCTGGATAGTTCACGTGTTTTTTTTTTGCGAAGTAGTTGATGCTATTCACTCATGGACAACAACTCCATGGTGGGTCAAAAATGTATATTTTTGTTGGCTGAACTCCAGTGCATTCACCGTGAAAGTGATGTTTCTAGAGATGGGATGACATCCCCAGTGGCGCCTGGAAGATTTTGGAGAACTCTGGAGATTCCATGGTGGGATTTCGCCACAGTATGGCCACGCATGTTCCACATATCCCAATGGTTTGCTGTTCTTTTTTTCCATGAACTATGCATGAAAAACGAAGTATGGCCATGAAGAACTGGAGCTCGGGACCATCAAACGTCCTCGAAAATTTCCCATTGCATCCCATTTCTATCCATTTCGATGTTTGAAACCGGAGAGTATCCATGTTTTTTCGATTCTTGGAAGGCACATCCCTTTTTTCAGGATCCGAAAAAACCCGATTGGATCCATGTGAGATTTGGTCATATTTTGTCTGGCGATTTTTCCCCAGCATGCAGATGCACAGAATATTCAATAATTTAATAACCATATGCTCGATGTATAGTATATTTACCTACAAAACTGGGCCATAAAAATGGGGTAAATGGTGGTAAATATTCCAGCACCATGGAGCATACCTTATATTGTCGGGCTTCGCACATCGGCGATGCCATAAGGGTTATGTATAGTTCATGTGCTCTGCGCGTTATACCGCAGCTTGTGCAGTTGTTCATGTGCGATGTTCTTTTTATACCGCAGCTTGTAACCGTGTAACCATCTCATTTTGAGATCCACCAAAGCACTACCCTCTGGTAAACGTTTACAAAGCTATGGAAAATCACCATTTTCAGTGGGTAAATCCACTATTTCTATGGCCATTTTCAATAGCTTTTTGTTAGTCATTACCAGAGGGTAAACCACTTATTGCCATCCCAAAACATCTCATCCCATGGCATCATCCCGCAGGTATCGTTGGAAGCGGCTCCGGCGCGAATTCGAGCCCGCCTACCTGGGAAGACATCAGAGACTTGGAAAATGATCGCGACTCCAAACAGGGGGCCTGGGAAATCAGTACCCTCTGGTAATTTTTAATGTATTGCTATTGAACATGGCCATAGAAATAGTGGATTTACCCACTGAAAATGGTGATTTTCCATAGCTATGTAAACGTTTACCAGAGGGTAAGAGATACAAGCACCAGGGGTTGTGGAAACAGTAAGAAATCATGGAAAATGAATCCATGGCATTGGGAAACTGTAATGATTTGATTCCCTCGAATGGGCAGGGGAAAACGAGGCTTTATTCAACTGGCCAAAATCTTGATTCTTCAGGGACACTTTTTTGGAAATGAATTGGACACCCCGATTTAAACGCTCGGTTGGGGGCCCCGATTTTTGGCCACTTTGATGCACATTGTTCAGGATGAAAACGGAAAAATGACATGAAAACATCAAATATGGGATCTCTAGAGAAAATATGTTTTATTGACACAGGAACGGAACAGATTTAAATGCTACTGGGGACATGGTTCACCAGAAAACGGATCGATTTTCATCATGAAACATGGTCATTTTAGCGAAACTAGTGGTTATCCCTGAGCACAAATTGGGATCTTCAGACTGCAGCAACCAAACGTGGGATTTGTTGTCCTCAAATACAGGTTGGTTGATGGTGACATGAACTGTGTTTCGATGTACTAGATTGTTGAATTGGAATACCATCTGGTTATTTAACATAGCCATGGAAATCACAATTTTTAATAGATAAACCATCTATATAAATGGGCCATTTTCCATGGCTATGTTAAATAACCAGAGGGTATATGGATTTATCATGATTCATCAGGATTAATGCCATACGCTTCACACACTTGACAAACACGGGGAGTCGCGAGCCAGTCGCCCAAAAAAAGGGTTCCAAAAGATGCGGAAACTGCAACTACCTCCCTCGGGTAATCAAACATTTCAATAAAAATGCCCTATTTATAGATGGATTTCTTTTTAAATGACCATTTATAGGGGATTTGCCAGCCATGTTTGATTACCGGGGGGTAACTTGTTGGTAAAAGAATTACGTCTGTTGGGGCGTTGAAGCAATAGACTGGATGTGTCAGGCTCATTTCCTGCCATTCCAGGCTTAGAATCCAGCGTTGCACGGGACTGTCTGCTAGACAAATCCAGTTCTAGATGGCTTTAACTTGGATAGAAATGTCACGCGACCTAGCAGAACAATCCTACACGGCAAATGTCCCTGAACTACATCCAACTACATCGAACTACATCCAACTATTGGCGAAAATCATCATCAAAGTTATTCAAAGTTGATATCTAGTCAGCGCATCCCAACTCGCCGAGGAAGTGCAAGACTGCATGGCTAGAGGAGATGGTCGAAGAGAAGGAGGAAATGGACACCTGGCAGCCAGATGTTTGAGGACAACGTAAAAACATCAATTTTCCAACGATGTGAAAAGTGATTACTGTAAACCATTCGATGAATTTACTGAATAATCTTAGCAATTAGCTGGTTGGTGGTGACTGGAACATGAATGGATTATGACTTTCCATTCAGTTGGGAATTTCATGGATTATAGTGGTTTAATGAATTTTAATGGATTTTAATGGATGTTCATGGATTTTCATGGATTTTTCCATATTAATTGGGAATGTCATAATCCCAACTGACTCATATTTTTCAGAGGGTTAGGTTGAAACCACTAACCAGTTAGTCTTTTGGGATGGATGAATTTCGACGTGAACTCCCTGAAATCCAGTCGCAACTCGTAGTCGAAGTTCTTGGTTTTTTATCAGTTGCCCTTCCTTAACTTTGATGAAATTCGATTTCTGATCTTTGATGAAATCCGATTTCTGATCTGATGAATTGTTTGATGGTTTTTGATGATTATCAAATGATATACCATCTTCCAAGACCATCAAATATCAATATGATGATCATCAAACAAAAACCATCTTCCGTAACCATGATGAATATCAATATCTGTTTTTGTTTGATGGCTTTTTATGATTCAACATTTGAGGACAACTCATCTAGCTTTGACTTTTGCAAGCTTCGCGGCCCAGAACCCACAGTTCTTGGGGGTACTCCCAACTTTACTTTGGGATTTAGCCATTTACTAAATTTAGTAAATGGTGATATAGTAAATGGTATAATTGGGATTTAAACTCATTATGTTGCTAAATTTATGAGTTTGGATTCACCCAATATAGACATAATGGGTGGCCACATCAACGAGCACCGCAGAAAAGGACAGCCCTATCGATCCCCTGGACTTGTACTTGGCCAGATTCACGCAGCGACTTGCTAAATATCAGGCTTTTGTTGCAAGGATTGGTACCTTCTATGGGGATCTAGCGGAAATCCCCATTTGGCTGGCTCGAAATACTGGAAACCCCATGGAGGTTGAAATGGGAAGAACGATGAAAAAACCCTCTATCGTTTGGGGGTGAAAAAAGTGCCGCGTTTGACATCGACCAGGGTAAAACAAGAAACATAAGAATAACATCGACCAGGTTTTCATTTAACATATGTTTGACCCCACGTTTGGAAACCGGTTCTGTGTGAAAACGTGAAAACTTACCACACACGTTGTCATCTTAACTGGGGACATCATGATAAACCACTGGATTATGGCGTGGTAAGTGGGCTATGACTTTTATGGGGTACAAACCAATCAGGTACATTTAATATATTTCATGGACATTTAATGGATTTATAGGCCATGAATAAATAGACATAATTAATTGTTTTTTCATACTGGGGATATACAAGCAACCATATTTCATATTGGAGATAGTTATCTCATTTCTTATGGTTTGCGGCCTCCAGTAACTTGATATAGCTATGGAAAAGTTCGAAGGGAAAACCTGAGGGATTTCCATAAAAGGTGTTGTGAAAATTTGCCGCAGGGTATATCCCCATTTTGTATACCCATTGTGTCGCCACTACATCAGAAAGAAACATCCCATTTTGCTGGGTTTTATATGTTTTATACTTTATACCCGCATTTCTCAGTTCTTCCTGGCTTAAACTGAAAAACAATTGGGTATGTATGTATATATATATATATATATGTACACACTATATCCCCATCAAATTGAACTCGCCCACATATATGGGTACATCTCAGGATACAAGCGATGTAACGTATGGATCAAGGCCCCAGGCCACACGATCCATTTTCCCGATGCATGCCTTGATTCATACCTTATACTGCATGATCCATACCCGTGATCCATACACTTTTGTTAAGAAAAGACTGCGGCTATCTGCTGCTGGTCCTATGACCAGGTACGGATCAGGAACCTTACGCAAACACTTCCGACCCATAGTACGGATCACCGCGGAGTTATCCATACCAGATTATTCACTCACTCCTTTTTTTTAATCTAAGGTTGATATCTCCATATTCTTCCCATTATATGACCATTATATCACCATTATTGATGTTAAAATCAAGTGATCTCCTCGGAATGTGATGCTTGGTAAAACTTGATTTAAACATCAACAACGGTTACACTAATAATATCTTATCCCAGTATCAACATATTATTAGCTACACATAACGTGTATATATATATATATAGTATATATATATAGGATTATATAGGTTAAAGTCCTTGAAGAATGGTCAATGACCACTATATGGTTTATTTTCCCAATATATATATATATAATGGTCAATATCCCCTTGCTATCCCTATGTTTTTCATATGTTTCTCAATTTTTCCATATGTTTCCATATGTTTTCCCTTTTTTTCATCGCTCATTGGTGAAATGCTGGAGGTTCCTGCTGCCCGTGGCGCCTTTCGCGTTGGACTTTGTGCCGCACAGCCGCAGCAGCGGCATGCTACGTGTGCCAAGCAGCGCGCAGGAGGTGACCGGTGAGTTGGGGATGAATATGGATGAACCAACAAAATCTGGAAATTGTAGGGAAATGATGGTTAAGTTGGTAAAATTGAACTACATTGTAGGAAATGGCAAACATGGTTCAATAGGAAATGATGGAACAAAATCTATTAAAGATGGTTAAGTTCAACTTCTGGTGATTTAGCATAGCTATTGAACATTGCCTATTTATAGTGGATTTACCTATTAAAGATGGTTATTTCAGGAGGGGTAGGTATACCACCAACCAGTAACTTCAGGAAGTTATAATTTCCTGGCAAAATGGGGAAACATCATGAAACATCCACATCTCAGGAAAAAAAACAACTGTAGGAAAGCCACGTCACCATGGTTGTTTCAATACTAAAATAGTCTAATTTTGGATGATTTGGGGGTACGCTCATTGTGTGTATCTGTATATAGTTATATAATTATGTATGTTTCTATAGATATCATCCGTTTTTTGGGACCCAAATTGTCATTTTATACAATCTGGCATAAATTTTGACAACATATAAAGTGTAATATATTTTGAATTATATATACATTACATGTTTGGAGAAACTCTTAGAAAAAATGGGAGATATCTTGCCAGACAATGGGGAGACAATTCATCAAAAAGTGGGATATAAAACTCAGAAGGGCGAGATGAGTCACCAAACACGGGCTCTGTTGCAGTGCCATGTGGAGGTTTCCTAAAATGGGGATATCTCTTTGGTAAACGTTTACATAACTATGGAAAATCACATTTTTTAATGGGAAAACTATGGGAAAACCATCGGAAAATTGTGATTTATATGGACAGATCCACCATTTTTAATAGGAAAACACCATGTTTTATGGGTAAATCAACTATTTCAATGGCCATTTTCAATAGCTATGTTTGTTTCCCAGAGGGTATCCCATTAATTGACTATTACTGTTACTTTCAATATACCATTGTTAATTATCCCATTAATAATCCCATTAACTGCTAGCTTACCAGAGGGTACCCCTCTTTTAATCATCCATTTTATCTTGGGTTTTTCCACGAAATAAACCATCCAACTATTGGGGATCCCCCAGCTTAAGGACATCAGAGGGGTAGGCACCACAGTTTCACATATGATAAAGTTATAACTGTAGCCCGCCCCGTATATATATATATATACATATTACACACATACATATCATACATATTATACATATTATATATATACATATTATACATATCAGACATATTATTTGATAAACCCCTGTAATGCATATAATATAAATCAGGATTCTGGGGCCTGGGTTTTAATTTTGGAGGGTTTCTGGGTGTTAAAACTGGTTTTTGAATGGTGCAGGATACATATCAAAATGGTGTTGGCTCAGCACTATTCGTTAGTGGTGTTTTATCCAATTCTGCTCTGGTTTACATATGCGTGGTTTATTCAGGCTACCCCCGTCCAGGCCGGCCCAGGTCCGCCTAAGTCTGCCCAGGTCAATCCCAACTTGCAGGTTCTCCCAGGTTCTCCCAGGTTCTCCCAGGTTCTCCCAGGTTCTCCCAGGTTCTCCCAGGAAATTAGTGGTTTCCTGCGATTTTGTGGGTTTCCGGGATTTCCTGGGAGAACCTGGGTGTTATTTTCTGCGATTTTGTGGGGTTTCCGGGATTTCCTGGGAGAACCTGGGTGTTATTTTCTGCGTTTTTGTGGGTTTCCGGGATTTCCTGGGAGAACCTGGGTGTTATTTTCTGCGCTTTTGTGGGGTTTCCGGGATTTCCTGGGAGAACCTGGGTGGAAACAGTTGGGGATGGGCCTGGGAGAGCTGCAAGAGTTAGTTCGGGGAAAACTGGCTGGAGGGAGGCCCGCTATTTTGACCCGCAATTTCTGAATTTCTGCCGCAGGCGTGGCCGCCCCCTTTGGCCTGCAGGTTTGCCACGCTTTAAAGTTTAGTTATAAGCATTACAGGGGTATAGCAACATATTATACATATTATATATAGAGTCAACTTTAAGTGTACATGTGTCTATGTAGGATTTATGCATCTCAGGTGATGGTCAACATATCCGAACTATTAGTTTAAAACTGTATAGATGATTATCATTGATTATCTATAGTCATCCCTGAAGTAAACCATAAACCCAATAATCAAGCATCTAGAGTTGTTTCCCGGATATAAAAATCCCATATGAATCCCATGTGTTTCCAACATCTTCCCAAATATTTATCTCATGTTTTCCAGAAAATGGTCATGTTTCAGTTGCCAGCAGGTGGGTCCCGCCGAAGCGGTGACAGACGAAGACATTGCCAAGGGCTTGGTGGACGAACACGTCGACTATCTGCGAAGGAGGAAACTCTGCATGCGCCTTGGACGTTCCAAGGATATGGGACTAATGTGGTTAAGTTTCAATGCCATCAACTACCCATGACTGGGTGAAATGTTATCTAGGGTATGGTTTATGGCATTGTTTTAACCACATGATAACATTTCACTAATATATTGGTCATATTGGTCATAACCAGTTAACCCATTAGTCAACTACCCAAGGATATGGGAATGGTAACCATACCACCTATCTAGGGTGATGACTGGGGGATGGTTTATGAAATTGTTTTAACCACATGATAACAATAGTAACACCATGGTCGAAAATGGAGTATTTTTTGATATTAATGGGACTATTAGGGACTATTGCAGCTAAAACAAATATCTGGTTGATGGTTTGGAACATTTTTATTTTTCCATATACTGGGAAATCCCAACTGACTATTATTTTTCAGAGTGGTTGAAACCACCAACAAGATAATATTTGCAGATATGAACGGGACTATCAATGGGATATATACATACGTAATTATATATAATTATATATATTATAGGGATACTAGAATTGTTTTTTTGGATAGTACATTTAAAATGGGATGTTAATGGTCCATTTAGCAATAGTAATGGGATATTAATTAATAGGATAATGGGATACTAATGGATACTAATGGATAATTCTGGACGATTCAGTTATGGCCTTTAATGTCAACCCTGGATTAATAGACCATGGTTTATTAATTAGGAAGGTACCTTCCAAATAGTGATGTCATATGATACTTAATTGGTACCCCTGATTTTATGGTGCATAAAGAGGGCCTTTGACAGATTTATTTGGGATCAGTTGGTTCAGTTCTATTGCTATGGGTAAATGTATATGCATATGTATATATATATATAGTACATCAGTTCTATTACATCAGTTATGGCCCTTCACAGTTATAAATGGGATTACAATGAGGCCATAAGCCAGTCGGAACTGCTATGGGCTAAAACTGTGTTTGTTGATAATCCAATCGAACTACAGTTATGCCTACCATGAAGCCTGGTTGACCCAGTTGACTCCAATGGCGGACTGCATAGCAGCTAAGCCTAGCAAAACCTATAGCTAAACCCCAGACGATAGCCGGGTTGGTTGATGATTAGTATGATTAGTTTCGGGATTCTAATGCATATTAATTCGATTTGGTTTTATCATAATCCAGTAGGGAAGTCCCGTTCTCAACCGGCCAATTTGGGATTTTCACGAGCCATTTGAAAGGAGGCAATTACTCTACATCAAAAACATGCCGTATTCGCATCCTGTGGGGATATTCCCTGCCTTAGATCATGAAGGAGCACCTCTAAGTTAGGTACTTGAGATATTCCTGACGTTTTTGCATCTTTTTTTGAATTTTGCGAGATTTTGAATGGCTCAAATTGATCCCTCTAGAGCTGGATGAGTCCATTTTTTGATTTCACCTTAATATGGCAAGTCAGGGGGGTGAACCCCCCATTTTCAGCATTGAAAACTGCTGGGGACACACCCCGCTGGTGCTGGGAACTTCCTGGTGCTGCTGGGAACTCACAGAGGGTGAGCAGGTAGTTGAGGGCCAGGGAGCCAGGGATGTAGGAGAGGAATGTTGATAATGTTTATACTTAAACTTATTACATATATATATATATGTATATATATATACACATCATATCTATCTATCTTAGCAGGCATGTTAATGGTTTGAAAGAAGAGACTGAAACCCATCCAATTTTCCGAAGGAGTTCTGAAAGTTACCTCATCGAGAATCGAGATGTCACGAGTTTGGGGGCTTCATTTTTTTGGTCATACCAGTGGTGATCCAACACACATATTTTTCCTCGCTAGTAGATTTTTCCAAGACGTGGCTGGACATTCACCACAAGAGTAGCAGATTTACAACATTTGGCCATGTCCAGGCACTGAAAAAAAATGGGGCTTCTCCGGACCGCTTCTAAATTCCAGTGCTTTTCTGATTTTTCTGTACCTCCCTTACTAAGCGAGGCGATTCTTTCCCCAAAAGTTGGAAAAACCGCCGAGGTTTCTGATGGTTGATGGAAGCGGCGGAGAGCTTTCCTTGTATCCCAAGGAGCGACCATGGTTTATTTTTGCGCAGATCAACATGATCAACATGATCAATTAACAAAGAATCTCAGAATCGCCATTTTTTTTTCAGGGTCAATGACATCATGTGGACAGTCCTGTGGACACAGAAAAAATGGCAACCTTTCTGGCAACATTTTCTTGTTGGCTTGTGAACTACTTGCTACCAGGCTAAGATGTGCCTTCGTTATTGTGGATGCAATCCATGGAGAATTCCTCATTCTTGAAGAAAGCCATAGATCATATGGTTGGCGATATCCCCATGATATCCCCATTGTAGTTGGTTAACCCCCAATTATATCTACGTTTGTATATATATATATTTACACTGTATATATCTCTTTGTATATCCCATTATTATATCCTAACATAGTTGGTTAAACCACTTATATAAATCCCCTTTTGTTTAGAATTGACATTCCCTAGTAAATGGCTGTGTTTTCCGTGGAAACACCCGCCATATAGTGTGTGAAATCGCAACAAAAATACACAATTTTTCATGGTGACATCCACTATTTTTGGGCACGTGCATATGATATCTCTGTTGGTTATATCCCACTAATTATATCCCATATTCTACCCGTAGAGTTGGCTTAGTCGTCCTCCAAAAATATACCAACTTGGATGGTGAATCCCAATCCCAATCAGATATTCCCCATGAAATCCCATTCGATCATATTCTATCCATGACCCTCTGGTCAACACGCAAAAAGCTATGCAAATCACTATTGTAATAGGCAAATCACCTATAGTTGGGCCATTTCCCATAGCTATGTTAGTTTACTCTAGCGCAATAGTCCATATGATACCATATGATTAACTGGCTGGTTGCTTAACATAGCTATGGAAACTGGCTGGCACATAGAAATAGATGATTGACATGCACATATTTACCCATTAAATCAATGGCCATTTCAGGTACCTAAATTGGAGGTACCTACCATATATAAGGCCTATATAAGGTCTATGTAAGGGAATATCCATGACGATTTCCCCATGGGCCCCGGGTGGGAATGGCTCCAAAATCCGGGTGGGAATTTACCATGGCAGGATGGCGATCAGATCACCTTGAGCGCTGAAGCTGGGCGTTTGGTGGTCTTCCGCCGCTCGGTGAACATGGATTTTTTTCGCGTTTGTTTCGTTTGTTTTTTTCAAGAATTGGCTATGGGTCAATACCTATAGATACCATTTTTAGTGGGATGAACATCCATTTACCAGCTATTTTGATGTTCACTAGGGGGATAGGGTTTTGACCCATCCCCAATTGTTTTTTTTGTGTTTTGAAGACGCAGTACAATTGGGATGATATGATGATCGGCAAGTGACTCGATATTTGTATAAACATGTATGTTCGTTGGTTTTTCCACATGTTTTTTACCGGAAGAAGGTTGTATTGAACAAAATGGCTGGTTTCCAGCAAAATGGGTGTACCCCCAGTCATCGAAATCAACCATCCAGCCATTAGGTCCCTCCATTTTCTGGACACCAATGGAATCTATTCAATGGGAATTTCAGGATCCTAAAATGGAGGTACTGTACCATATAAGGCCATATGTTGTGGGGATATTCCCTTACATAGGCCTTACATAGACCTAAAATAATAGTAGGTACTTTCAATTTATCGGTTCCTATAAAATGGCCATTGATCTATTGGGATTTTTTGTTCGGCTTTCCTCTGAGGTCATGATCGAATTAGCTATGCGTATCGACCGGACTCGGAAGATGACCTTGTGGCTTGGGCCAAAATTAAAAATGCCAGGAGGTGCCACGGAAAATTTTCCCGAATGGGTTGATGATATATGGAACTAGTGAAGGGATGTTACCCTCTGGTACACGGGCTAACATAACGAACTGGAAAGATCCACCATTTTTCATGGGAAAATTCACCCTAAATGATGATTTTCCATCGTTATGTTAAATTACCAGAGGGTAATGGTGGTTCTAAACCAACTTATAACCTGTGGGGGCACCACCTTGTGTGAACTAGCAGCTTTGTCATTCTTTGTCACATTATAACGTTTTCGGAAATTCTGAAGCGCCAGTTGGGCGGCCAAGTGTCTGGTAATGGGGGATTTAGGTCCTCCAAGTGCCATTTTATTCAGGGAACCTCGTGATTGATTTTTTTGGATTTCGGGGTACCCTCTGGTAAACGTTTACATAGCCATAGAAAATCACCATGCGATTAATGGGTAAATCCAGTATGTCTATGGCCATTTTCAATAGCAAACTGTTAGTTTACCAGAGGGTAAAGATACAAAAAACTATGGAAAATCACCATTTGTAGCTGGGAAAACCAACTATTTCAGAGAAACAAAGCAATTTGATTTCAGGTCTTTCTCTCAGTCAAACCAAGTAATGTGATCTTCCCATTAAAGCCTACATTTCTAATTAAGCGATTTGCCGTTGTCACGTTTGATGACCGGAGGGTAAGTCTGATTTTTTATTTTCTATTTTCATCATAGTCATATTATACATATACCCAAAATTCATACATCATAGTTTCTATGTATACCCAAAATGTCATTCTTCTCAGCCAGAATTGTACCCTTTGAAGAATCTATGGCCAGGCCCGAATACTCCACATTTTTATCTCCGTCGTAAATATCCCCCTGAAAACGATCATAGGTGGCTCCCAAAGAATGTTTTTTTTCGTATTTTTTCCATTGAGTATTGAGAAGTAGCCTCTGGCAAACGGGCTAAAAAATCACCATGGAACATCAGCATTTTTCATGGACAAATCCAGTAAATCCATGTAAATCCAATGGCCATTTGGCCATGGCTTCAATAGCTTTTTGTATGTTTACCAGAGGGTACTCTAGGTTAAATAAACTTAGCCCACGTGTATGGTAAGGCTACCCTCTATGTTTGTTTAGTGGTATTGCTTTTCTAGGTCTAAGTTTAAATAACCTAGTGTAGCATTTATCCATTTGGGTTTGAAAATACGGTACCCATGGTACCCTATTCCATCCTATGATGCAGACATCAGGGCCGGGCCCCTATCTATCATTTATTCCATGGCAAAAACGAAGAAACTGATATTCCCATGGTTGCGGCTTCAGATCCTAGTGGTGAACTAAAAAATCATGATTCCTCTGTTGAATTTCATGATTCCTATCCCATGACAGATCTTTTTTTTTACGTGTATGGTGGTTCATGCCCATGTTCTTGGTGGATTTTGCTGTTTTTCTCCGAAGCCTCGATGAAATCACCAAAAAGGTGCTTCAAGGCTGGGTGCTCACAGCACCGGCGCAGTTTCAGATTGCCATGACGGAAGGCGCTGGTGAAGGGGCGGGCGAGCCCCAGCTATAAATCAGGATTTAACGAGCAAAAATAGGGATTTATCTAAGAAAGAGGGTGATTTATAATTATACTTGATTTACGTCAACTAAGTTGGAAGTTTAAGAACTCCAATGTCACGAACGGGTTTAAATTCATGTGTACGATACATATAGATACATGTAGTTCATGGGGGGTCATACACAAACCAACAAACATTGGGCGGACACGACCATGGGTAGCCTGGTGAAAGCATCAATGGGTTTTTAATGGATCGGACGAGGAGCCCCCATTGTTTGTCTCTCAACTGGTTGCTTGAAGAACTTTTCTTGGTATCATCTCCATCTGGCCCTGGATTTTGCCGATTTATCCTCAGGTTTGATCCGAATTTTGTGTGCGAACACGCAGTTTACGGCTTGGCTTTTGGTTAGTTACACTATGTTACACTGATTAGTTCAAGCGGTGAACACCTTATCTTCTTGGTTGACCCATTGTTTTTGTGCTACTCCCCGTGCTCTGGCGAATCTGTCAGTTAAGCCCATCCGACTCAAGGCCCCAGGTTTGGTTGGGAATCCCGTTGAGTGAACCAGCCACTGAAAACCATGAAGAACCCATGGGTCCCATAAAAAAATCCCCGATGGTCATGGCCACATTAATACAATGTGAGGCCCCCAAGATATGTTTGTTGGTAGATTCGCCCCAGTAACTATAGTTATAGATACCATAAACCATAGTTGTTGGAGTTATGTGAACCCCAACTGAACGCTATCGAACGGGGGCCTCACATTAATAGGGCTTGATAAAAATATTTACCCATTGTCCCAAAGTAGTTGCACTCCCCGAGATGGCAGATGTGAATCTCCCATTATAAAACTATGAAATTCCATTATATCATCAGTATTTCATGATATCCTCATGATATCCTCATATCCATAACCATTCTATCCCATCTATTCCCATCATACGGTGAAGAACTCCTGCACCAGTTGGTAGATGGATGGTTTTTTCCCATTCTAATCCCATTATTTGCAGTGTTTCATAGGTACCTTTCATAGTTCCCAACTGGTGCAGGATTTCTTCCATCCACAGGATTTTTTTCATTATATCCTCATTATATCCTCTATAATTCACCATCCATCATTGTCCATCATCCCCATGTTTAAGTATGGAATTTCACAATTTTTAATGGCAAATCAACTATTTCGACTGGGCCGTGGCTTCACTAGCTAAAATTGTATGTTTACCAGAGGATATCATCCAATCATCCATTTATAGATGGCCATAGAAATAGTTGATTTTCCGATTAAACATGGTGATTTTCCAGTTCGCTATGTTAGTCATTACCAGAGGATATCAGTTTTCCAGGGTTTTTTTCTCGCAGGAGACCAGAAGTCCAAGGATGAGGCCTTTGGTTTGATGGCTGGGCCCAACACCCCCGAGGGTCGCCGCATCTGCGTCTTCGGGGTGGGCGTGTCGTTGCCGGCGGCGGCGCAGGATCATCTGCAAAACTACTGGTGACTTGGCGCAACCAGATGTTTGATATACATATTAATATATGGTTAATTGTTTGATAACTATGGTTTATGGGAAGTAAATGGTAAGTAAATGGTAAGTAAATGGTTTGTAACTGGCCAATGGTTGATATAATGGTGAATACCAGATTTTGGTCATGATGAAATACTGAAAAAAATACCATGATTCACCCAAAATATGGTGTTCACCATATACTTGGCACTGGAACTTAAATATGTGGTGTTTATGTTGCTTTTTCACCACAGATTTTGTGATTGAAACTTTCTTTTTTTGGAGAAGAAAGGTGCTTTTGTCCGAGGAGGGGTTGATTGAAGCAAGAAACATGACGACATAGCCCAGAAAAGGGGTCGAACATGGGGATTGGACCAACACAGTGGTGATTGACCAGACCAGGATTGGAATATGCGCACCTTGAGCTTGCTCAATTCAATTTTTCCGAGGGCAACATATTGTTTGTTTGTTCTGTTAAACATGCGGTGTAAACTTAAACCCTGAACTCCAACCCTACGACATTAGACATACATGGATGAATTATGAAGACCTCACTGCGAAGTCACCATAGATTATGGCAAGTAGTGGTAAGCACTATTTACCGAACTTTTCAGTTTGGTGAATTAATGTATACAGAATATATCCCATTGCAGTACAGTCATATCCATGATCTCCGCACTATTTTTTTTGGGGTATCCCATTTCCACTCCCTACGATTCCTACGTATATATTAGTACCCCCATTCCATCCATTGATCATCATTTTCCCAATGAAATATGGCTAAATCCACCGAATGTTCGTCATGTTTGCAGCTTTTTGCTGCTTACCCTCTAGAGTAATCAAACATGCTTTGCTGGAGAATGTCCGATTTATTGATGTTTCTTCAGCCAACAAAAACTCCCAAAATTCCAGCGGATTGTCCATTGCCAGACCGTTTGATATTCTCAGATGATCTGACCAGAGGGTATCAAAAAATATATATCGAAGTATGGCTAGATCCATATGTGAAACACATTGTGGCTCAGCATTTTTTGATGAGCACCAAGGTGCGGCATTGCGGCGGGCACCGATGGTTTCTGGCACTCTTGTTGGGAATGGTTGATCGGTGGTAAACCCACAGATACCATGTAAAATTGCCATGAATACTCCCCTTCTGAATCAACTATTTTGATCTATTCTGTAATCCGGGGTTGACATGAAGTTTTGCCAAAATCTCAAGGGAATACAGGTCATTTCCGTTTCAAAGTTTTTTTCACCAGCCACAGCATTTGCAGCTTGTTTTTCAGGTTACGTGAAAGCGCCGATCGAACGCTTCGACATTGATTTGTACACCCGAACCGGAGATGCTTGCCAATCCCATATGCTCCATGTATGGAATATTTACCTACATTTACCCCACAAATGGCCCAAATGTAGGTAAATATACATGGAGCATATGGGAATACAACAAAACCGTGGTTTTTCACTCACATTCGCTGATCAAAAAAATCGCCTTTTGTTGGTGGGAGTTCTGCCTTTTCATTTTTCGGATTATGAGTCCTAAGCCTTTTGGGTAAACGGACAGGTGATGTGACAGAGCTGCCATGTTTTTGCCCGGTAGAGAAAAGTTGAAGACCATCCTGGTGGCACACAAAAACAACGGTTTCTGAGATGTTGTACCTAGAAAAGCCATCCTAGAAAAGCCACTATCAACTTTTGGAGTATTTCATCGGACGGGGGATATTGTTTCATCTGGTTATGACTGTTACATGGAAGCCATGGAAGCCAAAACTACATTTTTAAGTTCGGTTTTTACCATCGATTTCGATTAGGGCCATGGCTTCCATGGCTATGGTTAATAACCAGAGGGTAACTTTCATGGCTTGACAAGTGGCCCTCGTGATGGCTCGGGACCCCACAAAAAACCATGCACTGGTTCATCATCATGACATATCATGACTATCTCAATTTCCAAGTGGTTGACATATATACTCGTGTATATATATATACACAATTATATATATATGATGTACAATGATATATATATATATAACTTAACATAATATAATACATAATATGTAATTACATAATATAATATACTTATCAAATATATCTGAACAATCATGGTGAGTTTCTCCAACTGGGACTAGTGGAGAAATGACCCGTTTCATTCATGTTTCGGACAGCGGCACAGCCCACAGCATCCCATCGAATGATTCCATTACGACCCACATGCTGGGTCTGTTTATGCCATTTTTTCTAGGTAAAACAATGTCATAAACTACCCGAAATGGTAAACGAACTTACATCACGAAATGGAAAGATCCAGCATTTTTCATGGGAAAATTCACGATTTCAATGGGCCATGGCTTCCATAGCTATGTTAGTTTACCAGAGGGTACCCATTTGGGAATGGTGAAACAAATCCTAGCTATAAAAATGGTGATTTGTAGTAATGGACCACTATCAAAGATCATTATCCCATTAGCAAGTGTTAAAAAACTATGTCCCTTTGATATCCATGAACATGTTGGTAAAACAATGTCATTTTTACCACCCATTTTCCTGGGAATGGTAACCATAGCACCTATATATAAAAATGGTGATTTTCCTGGGGGATGGTTTAGTATTCTTTTACCCACATTATGCCAATATACCATGATATACCCAAGAATATTTCGCGATATTGGGAATTGGCATTGGGTATACCACATGAAATTGGGATTTATTCCGATGATTTCCACCATTCTAGTCATCATGATGTCCCTGATTACCATCATCTTTAATAGTGGTTAATAGTGATGAAAAATCAACCATTGTGAATCACTATTAAGCACTATTAATCCCTATTAACAACCAGGTTATCACTATTAATCACTATCAATCACTATTAATCACTATTAAGCACTATTAAGCACTATTAAGCACTATTAACCGCTATTTTCCATTATTAGGATGAACCTTTTCAGGACTAGTCGCATGCTTCTGCTGAGGACAACTGGGCTCCTGGCTGGACATACACTGTGCATGGTGGCTTCTGCAAGGAGCTGGCAGAAAAGAACGGGTATCTTTGGGAAAGGATTGCTGAGTTTATCCAAGAAACATGGGAAACATATCATATATGGGATTTCACCTACTAGAATTTTCTAGTTTTTGTTTTCCCCGCAGAAATTGGACTTTAACACGCCCAAATTATCAACTCATGTTCGGGAATATGTTGATTGTCTTCGTGGAATACTTAAAATGAATAGAACGCCAAAGATTCAAATGAAGCCAGGCTAGTTTATACTGTAACTATGGTGAGGATTATCACACCATATTCAGGAACCAACGTGCAGAGGCAAGTCGTGCCGATGCTTCCATGCTGTTTGGCAACCCCCGGTGACAGCTGTTGGTCAGGCAGCAGCGCCAGCGTTTTTTTTGTTGGCAGCACGAAACCAACAGATATAGATATAGTCTATGATATAGTATACACATTACACAAAAATAACAACAGCAACAGTAATAATAGTTGATGACAATAATAATATCTGATAATAACAGCAATATATTGGCATATATTGGACTTTTCCTTCATTTTTTGGAATATCCAGTTGGACAAGTCCCAATTGCAATATGTATACTTTTCTGGTTGGTGGTTTGGAACATTTGGATTATTTTTCCATAGATTGGGAATAATCATCCCAACTGACGAAGTCCATCATTTTTCAGAGGGGTAGGTCAACCACCAACCAGTTTTTTTTTGGGCTGCTTCAACAGACACCATTCGAATGGTCCATCGTTTCTACGCCATGTCTGTCATCATCGGATCTCCCGCAGGACATTCACTCCTTTGACAATGAGTTCTTCAACGTCCCCGAAGGTCCGGAGCTGTTGGAGCGGAGGTCATCTATGGTGAGATCAGGACATCGTGAGATGGATGTGGGTCAAAATGGAAGACCTAATTAGGGGACCACAGATGGAAATGTCTAGTTTAGTATTAACCATCTAATTATTGGGGTACCTAATTTTGACCCATACCCATATGTGGGAAAACTGGGCAACAAACTCCTCAGTTACGGAAAATCGCTGATGAAGAAATTCAGTGGAATGGGGTAGCCCTCCTTTTTCGGACAACGCTTGGTTTTTTTTCTTGACCGTGAAGTCACATCTCCATCGGCTACCTGGTTATCTGGGGAAAATGCACGAAGCTATGGCTATCAAGCGCTCATTTGGAACATCATGATCTGGTTGGTGGTTTGGAACATGAATGGATATGACTTTCCATATATTGGGAATGTCATCATCCCAACTGACGAACTCATATTTTTCAGAGGGGTAGGTTGAAACCACCAACCAGAAAATCACTGAACATGAAAAATATCAGTGGAATGGGGTACCCTCCTTTTTCGGAGCCTGCTGACATTTTCTTGACGTGAGACACGTCTCCATCGGCTATCAAGCTATTGCTCATTTGGAACATCATGAATGGTTCTTACAGAATGGTTAATGTATTGGTCATTTAAACATCATGATGGTTCTTAATGGTGAATATTGATATCACCATTCTTGATGGTTGTATTTATCCAGGAAAGTTCCCAACCTAGCTATCAAACATCGACTATAAATTTCACTTGTAGTTACAGTAAATAATGTTAGATCCTTAAATTTCATCTTAAACGCCCATATATAATATAATATAAATATATATATATATACATATTATATATACACCCATATATATATAGGGAATTCATCTGGCACAGTTCCATGACCGTTGATGGAACCATGATGCCGGATTATCAACCTGTTTAACTCTGACAGGTGTGTGCATGGAGCCGGCACGAGAAAGATCTCAGCAGCCAAAAAAAAAAAAACATATTATATATACACCCATATATATATAATACAAATTGCGTATTTTCTGACAACAACGAAGCTTCCACGATAGAGAGCTACGACAGGTGAAGCCTGGCTGTTGGCGCCTGCCAGCAAACAGCTCCTGGAACGTAGCTATGAGGTGGGAAATGGTGGAAGGATGGGAAGGATGGGAAGGATGGGAAGGATGGGAAGGATGGGAAGGATGGGAAGGATGGGAAGGATGGGAAGGATGGGAAGGATGGGAAGGATGGGAAGGATGGGAAGGATGGGAAGGATGGGAAGGATTCAGATGATTTCTTGGAAGATGATATAAATTTCTTAATGAAGATATGATATGCCAAAATCCATGACTGAAATATGGCTGAAATATGAATCTCGGGAAGTTTCAAGTTTGTTTCGAGGAAGCTGGTTGATTTGGACGGGAAAACACCATGGGTTTGCTCTGGATTTCTGAGAAAGTATGAAACTCTGCACTGAAGCTGGGAAGCCCCTTAGATATCGATGACAAAGCCGAAAAATTGGAGTTGTCACTGACGTCACCACCGCCATGATGAATGGAGGGTTTTTCGTCCAGGCCTTGTACAGTTCGGGTCTACAGAGGAAGAACGTCAGAGGCAAACACATGGGAGTCTACATCGGTCACAGCCACTTGGATACCGATCCAAAAGGGATCCGGGTGCGGTAAAACTCATGGTGAATGATAGGGCACTTCTTGGAGAAAATGCTGATGCTAGGAACTTTATCTGCCCCAGCCCAGTAATGAAAATGATTTCAGGTCTCTATAATTTGTCCGTTTTGAGTATTGATTGTGTGTCTAGTGACGCCCAATCAGATAGAAAAATCCATCTAAAAGTACTATATGGCAGCGCTTCTATTTATTTTTGGGATACAATTGATACAATCATACTTGTGTCTACAGAAAGCGATTCATCATGACCTTTCTTTTACCAATATTCATACAATGTGAGGCCCCCAAGATATAAGTTGGTTTATAAGCCCCAGTAACTATAGTTATAAATACCATAAACCATAGTTATTGGAGTTATGTTCACCAACTTAGCTATCTTGGGGGCCTCACATTGTACGTGTGCTGGTCCGAGTCTTTTTCTTCTAGCTTCCAGATGGCTACAAATGTGCTTGTTTCAGGGATCTGCAGGCTCAATAAATCACCTTAGTATTTGTGGTTGATGTGCTATGAAACATTTGGGGCCTATTGTAAATCATTTCATTTCATTTCATTTCATTTCAATAGGGCTGTGCCCAATAGTAAACGACAATAAACCACACATTTGGGATGATCCGCAAAAATTTGTGGATCCCTCATCACCGGATGTCCACCCATAGGGATTTCAATATATTTCAAGCGTTTCCCAGTGGGACTACCACTTGAACTTGCGCTCGTGATTGTTTCCCTCCCGGGATTGATTCGAAATGTTTTTTCGTGGAGGGTAGGTGATTCTTGCGGGTGAAAACTGCGCAAATTTCCCTAAAAAAAGTCAGTGTCTCGACCAGAAATGTTTTTCTGGAACAAACCACCAGATCCCAATTTGGGATCATTTTGGCTTGTTACACCCTTTTAACCTTGTTTTCCTTTTGTGTATAAATGACCGACCAGTTTCCTGCAATTTCCTTGGTGTTTCGTCTCGTTTTCCAATTGACTGGGTTAATCCGGTTAATCATGGTCAACCTTGGTTAGATACGAACTATTACTTCAATCTGCTATCAATGGTAAAATTCATCATTGTCTACCAGCTAAACAAATCGTTTTTTTTTTTTTGACAGGTATCTAAGATTATGCGCGGATATAATATCCACCATAAACATCCATGAACATCTATAAACATCCATCAACATCCATAAACATCCATAGTTACCATAGTTCATAACTTATCTAACTTAAACATGGATAGTTTATGGTAGATATATCCAACTTATCTAGCAAAAACCCAACCTATCTAACTAGACTGATAAGCATTTGATCATCGCTGAGGTGGTGACGACTGGAGCATTGATCCCCGCTTTACCTCCGGGGACACAGAAGCCCATCGCTACGGTGACTTGGAACGTGCGAAACGAGACGCCCGGGTGGTTGATGAAATAGAGGAATTTCACTTGATTTAACCATGTTGAAGCAACAAACATGGTGGTTTTTGATAGGATATCCTGTGTTTTTCATAGATCATATGGATTATGGTTGGTCGATGATGGGGATTTCAGACTCAGTTTTTTGAGGAGTTCAACCCTAGGGATCCGGGGAAACTTGGAACTCTCGTTCTCAACCAGGATGTCAAGGCCAGGCTATCCGGGCAGATTCAATTGGCCAATGGGAAAGGATCTATAGAAATAGTACCCTCTGGTAAACGTTTACATAACTATGGAAAATCACCATTTTTCATGGGTAAATCCACTATAAATGGTCATTTTCAATAGCTATGTTAAATTACTTGAGGGTAACGGCTTTTAATAGCCAGTCACAGATTTTCGCAGTGTTCAAAGTTCGCCGCTTCAAGGGCAGTGCCTTGACACAACGGTTGGTTTTTTTGAGCGGATTTCCCAGCTCATGGATGGTTATAATCCCACATATATTGGGTAGTATATATAAACCCATATAATTTAATCATCAATCAACAAGGGTTTCAAAGACGGCTCACTTGGGTTTGTCAAAAAATAGTGTATACTCCCAAGTTATGGCGTTTATATATATATATATATTTAATGATGTTTATAGAAAATGATGATTAACCATGACATTTAGGTGGAGCCATTTTTTTTGCATTTTCTTGCTTGGATGTGCGGGTCAAATCCAGGAATTGTAAGATATTAGTGAACATATTACTTTACTTCCAGTGATCCCCAACCTGGCATATTATTTCGGCATTCTATCTGACATATATTCTGACATTCTATGTGGCTTTCTTTCTGGCATTCTACTTGACATATATTCTGACATTCTATTTGACATATGTTCTCACGTTCTACCTGGCATTCTATCTTAAATCAATTCTGACATTCTATTTGTGACATGTTCTGACATTCTATCTGGCAGTCTTTC